CACGGGACAGGGAAGCCAACCTCCACCTCCCCCACCTGCTGCCCTCAGGAGGCTTTGGGAGGGTGGATTGATGCCCCAGAGCTGCTGCAGGAAGGGGCAGGCAGACATGAGCCACTGCAGCCCTCCAGGTGAGGCACGTCCCTGGGCTGATCCTCCTCGGCAGACCAGGATCAGGAGCCTTTCCTTGGGCAATTAAAAAGCCACTAACAAGGAATTTTCATCCTGTTCCAGCCTCCAGAATGTCCTGGTTTGCAGGTAAGTGCTTCTGTCCTGCCTGGTCTCTTCAGCCAGCAGCTCCTGCAGCAACCACAGCACCTGGGGTTGAGCCCCACGTCAGCTGGAGGGTTCAAAGCTGGCAGAGCTCTGCTCCTCACTCTAGAAGTTCTCCTTCCTAGTGTTCCCCCCCCCATATCTTCTTCATTTATCATAGAATCATTAAGGTTGGAAGGGACCTTAAAGATCATCAAGTTTCAACCCATTTCTGCTCTGAACTTGTCCAGCTCCTCCTTCTTGCTGTTGCCACACAAAGCTCTGCCTGATTTGGCCACCAGATTTAGCCACATTTAACATTTAATGAGTCTGATGGCAAATTCTAACCCCCCCATGACCCTGTGCTGGGGCTGTGCACGGGTGACTTCTGCTCCAGCTTGTCCCTGGCTTGGGCATCCTCAGCCACCCCACAGCTGGCTGCTTGCTGAGAAGGTGGCACTTCAGGACATGGTGCTGTGTTGGTGGTTGGACTTGATTATGATCTTAAAGGCCTTTTACCAACCTTAATGAGTCTGAGATTCTAAGAAGCTAGAACTGGATGATGGTCCAGGCTGATCATCGTTTCTCCCACCAAACAGGGACCTGGTGTGGTCACCACCCACCTGGTCTGTGCAGCTCTGTGGGGAGAAGGAGCAGCAGCAGCTGCAGAGTTTTATCACAAAAGAACATGTAGATCATAGAATCCCAGACTGGTTTGGGTGGGAAGAGACCTTAAAGCTCATCCAGTCCCAGCAGCCCAGGCTGCTCCAAGCCCCATCCAACCTGCCCTTCAACACCCCCAGGGATGGGGCAGCCACAACTTCTCTGGGCAACCTGGGCCAGGCTCTCCCCACCCTCACAGCCCAGAATTTCTCCCTCCCATCTCAGCTCCAGCTCCCTCTGCCAGCTGGAAACCCTTCCCCCTCACCCCACCCTGCCCACCATCCTCACATTCTTCTTGTCTCTCCAGGATTGTTTAATAGAGCTTCTGTGCTACCTTCAAGCTTCTCCCACCAGAATAAAACCTCAGAAATTACTCTTCCTCTGACCCCCACCCCCTAGGTTTGCAGCCTTCTCTCATGGCTCAATGACAGAATGAAGGCAGAGCAGGAAAAAGACATTTTTTGTGGCCATATTTAATGTCCCAGAGAACTGAGACCACTTCTTACCCTACAGATTTGGAGGAACTTCCCACGTCCAGCCCTTTGCAGGGACACCAGGACTGCTCAGGCAGGAGCTCTGTCTGGGGGACACTGGGTGCTGAGCTGACCCTTTTCTCTCCCCTCCTGCAGCCCATTTCAAGATGCCAGCTGAGCAGAGATGAGCACCCAACCCAGAAACCAGCCTTTCACAGGCACAGAACTGGGTAGGAGCCCTTGGGTTACCCCTGGTGGCACAACTTGCATCATGAACTTAAACACCTCACAGGAGCTTCCCAGCCCCTTCCTCCAGCCTTTCCCACCTGTCTCCCCCCAGCCACCTGATGCTGCAGCATTCCCACCTCCCACCATGTCAGAACCACGTGGATTCCTGCTCTGACTCTTCCACCAAGGCAGAGTCCCCCCCTGATCCCCCTGGACATCCCGGGGCTCAAATCTGGGCCCCCCTTTTGCCAAGCACCAGAGCCAGATTCTCCAGCATGGCTTCTGATCCCCTCGCCCCCCCCAGCAGCCCGTCCTCCTCTTTCACCCTGCTGGGTGTCCCCAGCCTGGAAGATTTCCCCACCTGCCTGGGCATCCTGTTCTGCTCAGCCTATCTCATCTCCCTGCTGGGCAACGGGCTCGTCCTGCTCGTGCTGGGGCTGGACACGTCCCTGCGCCTGCCCCTCCACGGCTTCCTGGCCATGTTGGCCCTGATCGACCTGGTGATGGTGACATCCATCGTGCCCAAGATGCTGGGCATCTTCTGGCTGAACTCTACAGAGATTGGCTACACCTCCTGCTTCGTTCAGATGTTCCTCGTCCACTCCACGACGTCGGAGGAGTCAGGGCTGCTCCTGGCCTTGGCCGTCGACCGCTACGTTGCCATTTGCCACCCCCTCCGGTACCAAACCATCCTGAGCCACCAAACGGTTGCCCAGATAGGCCTGGCCGTGCTGGGGAGGGGTCTCCTGTTCATGGTGCCCCTGACAGGGATGCTCACCAGCCTCCCCTACTGCGGCTCCCGCCGGGCCCCCCACTCGTACTGCGAGCACCTGGCGGTGGCCAAGCTGGCCTGTGCAGACCCCCGGCCCGTCGGGCTCTACAGCGTGGCTGGGTCCTCCCTGATCGTGGGCATGGACTTGGCTTTCATCTCCGTGTCCTACGGGATGATCCTCAGGACTGCCCTGAGGCAGAAATCCTGCTGGAAGGCCCTCAGCACCTGCGGGTGCCACCTCTGTGTCCTGCTGCTCTACTACGTCCCCGGGATGGTCTCCATCTACGTGCAGCACTTTGGCAGCAGCCTGTCCCTGCAGGCACAGGTGCTGCTGGCTGACCTCTACCTGGCCCTCCCCACCATGCTCAACCCCATCATCTACAGCATGAGGACCAGGCAGATCCGCCGGGCAGTGCTCAGGGTGTTCTGTTCCAGGAAGGTTCACACCTGATGCAGCAGCCACTGCTTTTCCAGATGTTCCCCTCTAGGCAGAGGTGGCACCAGGTTCATTCCCCTTCCATGCAACATGGGGAGCAGGAGCAAGGAGAGGACTCATTGGCTTCAATGACCACAGGAGACCCTACTCTGTGACAGGAATTATTTGGGACTGGCATTGTTAGCAGGGTCCTATTTCCCTTCCTTCTTCCCAGGTGATACAGGGAAGTGAGCAACCACCTCAGAGTTCTGAGATGTTCCCGATGTCGTCAGCATCCCTGTCGTGATTTAAACCAACATTTCAGGGCTCCATAAACACAGAAATTCTATTCCAGGGGGGGAAATTTCTCCTGTGACACCTTCTTTAGTCCTTGCTGGGCAGCCAGGGCCAGCAACAGGAGACTTTCACACATTGCAGGTGCCCTCCCACACAGGTTCCCCTCTCTGGGCCTCCCTTGCACAAAAGGTCACGGAGCAGCTGTTCTGGGATTCTGGGTGATGGTGGAAATGGAACATCTTCAGCCCTGAGCTCTTCAGGGCACTGTGTCCATCAGGCCATTCACACCAGCTGGATGAGGAAGCTGGGCAAGTGGGGAGATGCACCAATGGCTTTTGTCACTGGGTCCAGGTGTTCATGCCTTGTAGTGGTGGAAATAAACACTGAATCTGCTCGGGGATGGGGATCAGTCCTGAGTCTGCTTCTTGTCATGGCCACCAGTCCTTGAACAGCTGAACCTTGCATGGCTTGGAGGCCTGAAGGACATCAGGCCATAGGTCTGAGCATCCTGAGGCAACCCAGATTTCTCTGAGCTGTCTCTGAGCCAACCAGTTGTGTCCCACCAGGACTCACAGGCTCAGTCTGCAGGTTGCAGACCCAACCATGCTGAGACCTCCCCAGGAGCAAGAGTCTTCCTGTTCTGGAAGCTGGGATCCAGCTGGGAATGCCCCAGACAGGTCAGGTCCTCCAGCAATGACAGGTTTCACCTAGATCTGCAGGCAAAAAGACCTGACCTGAGGCTCTACAGCAGATGGAGAGTCCAGCTCTGCAGGGATCAGCTCCTGCTCCTCAGAAAGGAGGATCACTGAGGGGTGCTCTGCAGGGATGATCCTTCTGGGACCAGCATGGTCCTTCTGGGCTTGGGCTGGAGCCTTCTGGGACTCAGTAACATCTACAGTACAAGGGGTCAGTGTTTTAGGGCAAAAAGCAGAAGGTTGGTGAGCAGTTCTGGGGTCCCCAACACCAGAAGAACATGGAGCTGTTGGAGAGAGGCCAGAGGAGGCCCCGGAGATGCTGGGAGGGCTGGAGCAGCTCTGGAGCCAGGCTGGGAGAGTTGGGGTGTTCAGCCTGGAGAAGAGAAGGCTCCAGGGAGACCTGAGAGCAGCTTCCAGGGCCTGAAGGGGCTCCAGGAAAGCTGGGGAGGGGCTTGGGACAAGGGCAGGGAGGGATGGGAGCAGGGGGAAGGGTTTCCAGCTGGCAGAGGGAGCTGGAGCTGAGATGGGAGGGAGAAATTCTGGGCTGTGAGGGTGGGGAGAGCCTGGCCCAGGTTGCCCAGGGAAGCTGTGGCTGCCCCATCCCTGGGGGTGTTGAAGGGCAGGTTGGATGGGGCTTGGAGCAGCCTGGGCTGCTGGGAGGTGTCCCTGCCCGTGCATGGGTGGGACTGGGTGGGGTTTAAGGGTCCTTCCAACCTTCATTATTCTGTGATTCTGTGATTCTGTCATGGAGTCCAACCCTTCCCCCAGCCCTGCCCAGGCCTCCCCTGCCCCATGTCCCTCAGCACCATCTCCAGGGCTTGGAAACCCCACAAGGGATGGGGACTCCCCCCCTGCCCTGGGCAGCCTATTCCAGGACCATGGTCCAGCCTTAGCACACCCCAAAAGCCAGATCAGAGGGGCTGGAAGGGGAGGCAGGAGGGAAGGTGGCTCCATGGGTACCAGGCCAGCCAGGACTCTCTGGGGACGTGTCCTCTGGGAAGCAGTGGCCACAGCTGCAGGTCACAAGCCTGGCTGAAGACAAAAAGGTTCTGAAGGTTTTTCCCTGAGTTAACAAACCAGAACTGTGAGATGTCTGGACACTGCAGGGGTTTTATCACCACGGAGGTGGCAGCAGAATCCCCAGTTCTCCATCTCTGTTGCAGGAAACTAAAACTGGGAGAAAAGATTCACCTTGGCCCACCTGTGCCATGTCCACCACCAACCAACCCAACACCAACTCCTTGTCTTTTCTCCTGATGGGCATCCCTGGCCTGGAGACTCTCCACAGATAGATTGCCATCCCCTTCTGCTTCATGCACCTCATGACCTTGCTGGGAAACAGCCTGGTCCTCCTGGCCGTGGGGCTGGACCAGAACCTCCATCAGCCCATGTGCTATTTCATTTCCATGTTGCCCATCATCGACCTCATCTTCTCCACTGCTGTTGTTCCCAAAATTTTGGGTGTGTTCTGGTTGGATTCAAGAGAGATTGGCTTTGAGCCTTGCTTCATCCAGATGTTCTTCATCCACACCTTCACTGCTGTGGAGCCAGGGGTGCTGCCCATGTCCTGCGACAGGTACGTTGCCATCTGCAACCCCTGGGATACAGCACCATCCTCACAAGCTTAAGGACCATCCAGATAGGACTGGTGTCACTGGCCAGGTGAGCTGGTGTCGTTGACACCTTGATGTGCCTCCTGAGCAGCTTGTCCTGCTGCACCAGCAGGGTCATCCCTCCCTCCTCCTGCCAGCACGTGGCCTTGGTGGGGCTCCCTGTGCTGACCCCTCTACAGCCTCCTCGTGGCAACCCTGCTGGTGGGGACTGACTCTGTCTTCTCCTTCTCCTATGGCATGATCCTCAGGTCTGTGGTGAGGCTGCCATCCCAAGAGGCTCAGCTCAAGGCCCTCAGGACCTGCAGGTCCCACATTTCCATCATCCTGATGTTCTACCTGGGTGGCCTCCTCTCCATGCACCTGCAGATGTTCTCCTTTGACTCAGCTCCTCACGTCCAGGTCCTGGTGGCTGATTTCTACCTGACAGTCCCTCCCGTGCTCAACCCCCTCAAGTATGGTGTGCAGATGAAGCAGATCCAGGAAGGGATCTTCAAACTCTTGGGGCTTGGCAGGACTCAGGATCTCACCAGCTGATGAAGACAGGCCAGGTGCTGAGAGAGGGAGGCACCACCAGAAAATAACTCATCCCATCCTAGAACCTGAGTGAAGTGCCATGAATTAACCCCCAGGAACGTCCATCTCACCCCAGTGACTTGAAAGGAAACCTAGGCCAGATGCCTCCTGCTGTCAGGGCAATGGTTTCTTGCCATGGAACCCCTGGGCCCACCCTGAGGGGTGCTGGGCAGAGGTCTCTTTGGCCAGTGCCCTCCCTCCAGCTTTCCCAGGTGCCACCAGCCAGAGCTGCAGGAACCAGCTCAGGTGGAGGAGCTGAGGACGTGGACAGAGCCCTGAGTAGAAGCAGTTGGTGCTGCCTGCCCTGGGCTCAGAAAACCACCAAGAAATCTCCAGTGAAAGTGGTTCCTGGTCCTGACATAACCTGGGGTTAGAGGTGCCAGGAATGAGCCCAGATCACCCAAAACAGAAAAAAAAAAAAAAAAAAAAAAAAAAAAAAGTTACTTTGTTCATTTGGAAAGATTTGTCACTTTGGAGGGAGGGAGGGAACAAGAAAATGTTGCCTGTAAAATGTGATGGACCCACCCACCCCTCCTCCCTCCTCCCTGCCTTCCTCCTTCACCCAAACCTCTGGCAGAAACCAGCAGGGTCCCAGTGACCCACATCAGCTGGAAAAACAAAGAGTCAGAGAAGTTCTCAAGTTGGAAGGGACCCACCAGGATCATTGGGCCCAAGTCCCTGCTCCTCACAGGACCATCTCAACCTGCACCCCGGGGCTGAGCATCCTCCAGATGCTCCTTGGCTTCTGACCAGCTGCTGTTTGGGGTGTGTGCAACTTGGGCACTCATCTTGGCCATCAAAGCTTAGGTTAGATGTGTCTTAGAAACAGCAGGAAAGTCTCCAGCACCTGAACAGGTTGCTTGGGAAGGAGGGGGACCCACCATGGAGAACCTTGGACCTGGGGAGGAGGGGGGTCCACCATGGAGAATCTCAGTCAAGCATCCTACCTGCCCTGCTGCAGGGCAGAGACAGAGCCAGGTGAGCTCCCCAGGCTTCCTGCTCTCTGCCTCAATAACATCTACAGTGTGTTTGCTTTTGGTTTTTTCCACCAAATAAAATAAAGTTCAGATCTCAGCAGCTCAGCTCCAGCAGCAACCCCAGGTGAGCCCTCAGCCTCCCACCCCCCACCCCAGAAACACTCAGGCCATGCAAGCAATGGCAGAACTGCACCCCAACCATGTGCCCCGTGTGTCTCACACTGGAGAGCCCAGCACTGGACCCAGCACTCCCCTGTGGCCTCTCCAGTGCTGAGCACTGGGGAAGGATCATCCCTCAACCTGTCAGCCTCACTCCTTCTGCTGTAGCCCAGGACACCCTTGGCCACCAGGACCTTCCCTGCCCAGCTGCTTTCCAGCCTGGGCTTGTTCCTCCCCAGGGGCAGGACTGGCTGCACATCAGGAGGTTCCTGCTGGCCCATTTCTCCAGACCACCCAGGTCCAGCACACCCACTGGGGTCCCAGCTGCTCCTCCATGCACTTCCTAAGCACAGGCATGGAAAGGCTGCTCCTGGCTGAGCAGGTGTCCTACCAGCTGTGGCCAGGACATCCCCCTGTGTCCATGACCTTAGTGCAAGTGGTGCCCAAGGGAAGGGCTGAATCCCAAGGGCAGGGCCAGGGCTGGACCCATCCTGCCAGCACCAGTGACCCAGCCAAGGCCACCCCACCCAGGGCTGCCATAGCAGGGATCTGGGGGTGTCCACGTCCCTGGAGCTCAGCCCAGGAATCCAAACTGCTCCTGGTGATGTGATTTCTCCCTTGCTCGTGGCCCTGGCTGCTCCTCCAGACCCAGGTTTGTCCACAGGAGCCCCAAGGAAAGAGGCTCCTTCCCTTGTTTACCTGCAAGGGGCCCACGAGGGCCACCAAGATGTTCCTCAAGGCTGAGTAATGAGCCTCAGGACACTGGCAGTTAATGCTCCATCTCTCCTTGGGGTGAAGAGTCCAAAGCAAACAACAGCTTAACCCTGTGAGTGCTGGGCAGGGGTAGGTGTCCCTGGGCTGAGCTCTTTGGAGATGGGGACCTGGTGGGTTTGTGCAGCCATGGCCAGGTGGCTGCAGGACAAAGACACAGGGTGACAGGATGAGGGGGGACAGATTCAGGCTGGCAGAGGGAGCTGGAGCTGAGATGGGAGGGAGAAATTCTGGGCTGTGAGGGTGGGGAGAGCCTGGCCCAGGTTGCCCAGGGGAGCTGTGGCTGCCCCATCCCTGGCAGTGTTGAAGGGCAGGTTGGATGGGGCTTGGAGCAGCCTGGGCTGCTGGGAGGTGTCCCTGCCCATGCAGGGGGGGCACTGGGTGGGATTTGAGGTCCCTTCCAACCCAAACCATTCCATGGTTCCATGGTTCTAGGATGGCACAAAGGCTGGAGGGGTGTGTGAGGGGCCAAGAAGGCTCTTGATGCAGATAAATCAAAGGTTTTAGCCCAAAGTGCTCCTCAAAGGCCAGCACTGGTGAGCACAGTCCCAGCTCCCACCTGTCCTCCTGCCTGGTCACCTCCTGCCTGCACCAGGTCTTTCCACCAGATCCCAGGCTCCAGGTCACTCCCAAGATGGATGTCCACCTCAGTGCCAGCTCAACCAGCAGCAGCTCCTCACACCACCGTGGGGCACAACTCTCCTTGGGACCTGCAGCACAAAAGGACCCTGCTGGAAACACCACCCGAGCTCCAGCTCCTGGCGGTGGGTCCTGGAGGTGCCACTGGAACAGACTTTCTCATTTTTCTCACTCACTGGCCCGTGCTGCCCAGGGAGGAGGTGGAGGCCCCAGCCCTGGGAACTCTGCTGGTCAGGTTGGACGAGGCTCTGAGCAACCTGCTCTGGCTGAAGGGCAGGTCCCTGCTCACTGCAGGGGGGTGGGACTCCATGACCTCTAAGGCCCCTTCCAACCCCAACCATTCTGTGATTCAAGGATCTTACCCTGGCATTTTTAGCCCCTCAAACCCTTCACAGCCCCCGGGCTGGGTCTGGGGGAGGCAGGAGCTGCTCGTCACACACCTCTGAGAAGTTTGGTCTCAGTTGTTGGTCTTCATACCAAGCAGCTGCCCCAGGGACCCAGGGGACCTGCAGGAAACCAGAGCGTGGGGCCCTGGAGCAACTCCCTGGGCACCAGGGGAGGGTCTGGGGGGTCCCCATCCTTCACCCCAAGAGAGTCCCTGCCGGGGCACAGCTGGCAGCAGGGACAGGGAGGCACAGCTGCCCAAACACACCTCCCCCTGCAAAGGGACAGAGCCCCAAGGGGACAGAGGAGTCCCAGTGCCACCAGTGCCAAGCTCATGGGGCCTGTTGAAAAGAAGTTAATTAGCTGGGGGCTGGAGGGGGTTTCTGGGAGGAGAGACCAGGGTCCTGAGGCTGGGTCCCTCCCCACAGTGTGGTGACCAGGGGGACACAGGGACAGTCACCCCCCACCCCCAGAGCCACCAGCCCTGGCTCTGGCCAAGAAAACAATGCAAAACCCTCAGTGAAGCATCATCAGAGACAAACCTGCTAATTGGCCCCTGGGCAGGAAGCCAGGACCCAGGGACACAGCAACACAGCCTCCAGCAATCAATCCTCCCTGGCAGCCCGTGCTGCAATTACCATCCAGCTCGTTAGTGCTAATTGGGCTGCGCCCGGCAAGGAAAAAAACCCACTAATCAAAGTTCAGCTGCTTTTGACTTGAACTCCTTCAAAAGCACAGGGAAAAAATCAGTCCCAGGGTCCCAAGACACCTCAGAGGGATGATCCTGCCCAAAACCTCTGCCCAGGACATGGGGACAGTGCCCGAGTCACCTGCTGAGGCTGCTGACGTGTCCCCAAAGCTGCCCCAACACCAGGAGGTTGGACCTGATGATCTCCAGAGGCCCCTTCCAACCCTGACGACTCCTGTGAGCAGCTCCAGCCTCATCAGGCCTTGGCTGAGCTGCTCCAAGGCCAGCAGAGCAACCCAGCCTTGGAGTGGCCCAGGGTGGATTTGGCCAGGACTATGGAGGTGGCAGCAGGAGCTGAGCACATTGGTGACAAGTCCCTTGGTGACTGCTCCCTCCTGTCCCCATCCCAGCTGGTGGACTGGGACAATCCCCAGCAGGTCCAGGCAGCTGAGAGGTGGCCAATGGGACAGGACTGGTGTGGCAGTGGTCAGGGGGACAGCCTGGATTGCAAAACACCCCTCACCTCATGGGGAAAACCAGCATGTGGCTTCCAAAGGTAAAATCATAAAATCACATAACCATTAAGGTTGGAAAAGACCTCTAAGATCACCAACCCAACCCCACCGTGCCCACTAAACCATGTCCCTCACTGCCACATCCACGTTTTTTGGACACCTCCAGGGATGGGGACTCCCCCTGTGCCCTGGGCAGCCTGTTCCAAAGCTTCATCACTCTTTCTGTAAATAAATTCTTCCCAGTATCCAATCTGAGCCTCCCCTGGTGCAACTTGAGGCCGTTTCCTCTTGTCCTACCACCAGTTACGTGGGAGCACAGAACAACCTCCCCCAGGCTCCAACCTCCTGTCAGGGAGCTGTAGAGAGTGAGGAGGTTTCCCCTCAGCCTCCTCTTCTCTACAATAAACAAAAAGAGCACCCAGCAGCTCCTCCCAAGTAAATCCTTCCAAATTCCTGCCTGTTCCCCTTCCTACCAAGCTGGAAGGTGCTTTGCAGACAAAGTCCCTGGGGCAGCAGCAGAGGGGCAAGGATGGAGCTGGGCTGGGGACAGACCATGACCCCCAGGAACAGACCATGACCCCCAGGAACAGACCATGACCCCAGGAACAGACCATGACCCCCAGGGACAGACCATGACCCCCAGGAACAGACCATGACCCCAGGAACAGACCATGACCCCCAGGAACAGACCATGACCCCAGGAACAGACCATGACCCCAGGAACAGACCATGACCCCCAGGAACAGACCATGACCCCAGGACTCTGTGCCAGGGCCAGGAAAGAAAAAGGCTCATTCTGAAGCTTGGGAGGAGCAGCAGCACAAACCAGACACGGGGGTTATTCCCAAGCTCTGCTTGTGTGGGGGCTCAGCCTGGAGCCTGCCCAGGGCTCAGGCCCTCAGGTCTGACAGAAACAGAAGGAATCCAGGAGAAGCAGAAAGAAGAAGGGCAGCAGGGAAGGGAGGGGTTGGTTTGGCTGTGCTGGCAGGTGAGCACAGCACTGCAGGGGGAGGTTAAGAGGCTTTGCCAAAAGAGCAGGGATTTTTTTTTCTCTGTGACTGCCAGAGGAAGGATGAGGAGCTTAGTCTGCAGCATCAGGAATTCAGCTGGGAACTGGGGGAGCTCTGAGTGACAGTAATGAGGCACCAGAAGCTGGGAAGCCACAGAGCAGCTTTTACAGAGGCTTTGAGGAGCAGGTTAAATGAGCAGCTCTCTGAAATGACCTGGGCCTGGCACTGAGCACTTCAGGAGAGGGGGCCAGTGCCAACCTCATCGAGTTCAACAGGCCAAGGGCAAGGTCTGCACCTGGGTTGGGGCAATGCCAAGCACAAAGCTGTGATGGGCAGGGAATGGATGGAGAGCAGTCCTGGGGAGAAGGACCTGGGGTGTTGGGTGAGGAGAAGATCAACAGGAGCCATCCAAGCAAACCATGTCCTGGGCTGTGTCACCAGGAGAGTGACCAGCAGGGCAAGGGAAGGAATCGTCCCCTCTGCTCTGCTAAGACCCACCCAGCTTCTCCCCCTGCTCCAGGAAACACAGAGTCACAGGATCATGGACTCACAGACTGGTTTGGGTGGGAAGGGACCTTAAATCCCACCCAGTCCCACCCCTGCACGGGCAGGGACACCTCCCAGCAGCCCAGGCTGCTCCAAGCCCCATCCAACCTGCCCTTCAACACCCCCAGGGATGGGGCAGCCACAGCTTCCCTGGGCAACCTGGGCCAGGCTCTCCCCACCCTCACAGCACAGAATTTCTCCCTCCCATCTCAGCTCCAGCTCCCTCTGCCAGCTCCAATCCATCAGCCTTTGCACTCTCACTACATGCCCCAGGAAGAAGTCCCTCCCCAGCTTCCTGGGGTTGGTGTTTAAGGAAAGTGTTTGTGAAGCAGCAGAGGCAGCAGAAGGCAGCCCCAAGGCAAACAGGAGCCAGGGCAGGGGTCAAGGACAAACTGCACATGGGAGAGAGATGGTGGCTCCCAAGACCTCCAAAAGTAGCATCAGGATTCAGTGCAACTCCAGCCCCCTCCAACCACCTCTTCTCTCTCCAGCAGGAACCAAAACCCTCTTCACTCTTCCTGCAGACCAGGCCAGGCAGGAACACTGATTGCAACAGCACTTGTGTTCAGCAGTGCCTCAGGGAGAGGGGTCTGGAGTGCAGGGTCCCCCAGGAGCCACTCCTGTTTACACAGGGGCTCACTCACTGTGTGTTATCCCCTTACACCCAACCCCAAAACCTCCTGGGGATGCTCAACCAGCAGATTTTCACCTCTGCCTTTCCACACAGCTGCTGACAGCCCAACTCCTCACCTTGCCATTCCCACTCAGCTGCTCCACCCAACCAGTGAGGTTGCCAAGTTCTGAGGGACCCTGATCTTGCCCTTGCAACTTGGGAACTTTCCAACAGCTGCTCAGAAAAGGACTTTTGTCATCAAAAGGCTCCGTCCCCTCAGTCCTTCTGGTGAAACTTCCTGGGTGGCACAGCCACCAGGGATGGCTGTGAGAGCTGACCATGGGAGCTGGCAGCCCAGACATCATCCATGTCCTGTGCTGAGGGAGAAATCCTGGGCTGCTGGGAGGTGTCCCTGCCCATGGCAGGGGTGGGACTGGGTGGTCTTTAAGGTCCCTTCCCACCCAAACCAGTCTGTGAATAGAAATCAGAAGCAGAACATGGGAAGTGCTGCACTAAAAAACAAGACACCAGAGTTGCAGCTTTAGCTCCAACAGTCCCAGATCTGCCCTGAGCTCATCACAGACCCTCTGCACAACAATGAAACACAGACCTTACTTCAGCCACTTCCTCATCCTCCCCACAAGCCCAACCTTCAAAACAACCCAAAGACACCACAACCCCCCTGAGAAGAGCCCCAGCACATCCAGGGTTCTGCTCACATGCCACATGTTACACAGGAGCCTTTGGACAGGTCTCTGGAAGCACCACTGTGCAGGGCTCACACATGAGGCCCCAGCTGCTACAATTCACTTTTAATCAAAAAAAAGCATTGCCAAGATACCACTGCTCATTCCTGTGACATTCCACATTTTATTGAGTTGGGCTGGATATAAGAGTTGTATGGTACCTAGATTCAATAAATATTGGAGACCTGGGTGATGGCTGCAGCCCCACTGCCTCAGAGCAGGGAGTTAAGTGCACAGGGAAGTACAAATGCATTATTTTTAAAAGATCTAATAACTAGCTGGGGTGGATAAATGCAACTCAAAAGAAAAGATGTTGTGTGCACTTCAGAAGGCTTTCAGGCCAAGGCCAGCATGGAAGCCCCTGACCTGACCACTGGCTGATAAGTTAGACTAGGTTTTTCACAGAGAATAAAATGCTCTGCAGCAGTTCTGCCTCATCCTGGTCAGGCCTGCAAAGGAACATTTCCCAAGCACAATGTCCTGCCAGGCTGGGTGGAGAAGATGAGCTCTCTAGTTGGCCATGCTCCTACCACCCAGTCTGCACCACTAAAAGGCTTTTCCAGAAAGGAGGAGGAGAGGCCAAGGAGAGCAGGAAATGGTGGGAAAAGGGTCTTGCTGGCCGATGTGCACACACTTCCCAAGCTGAACAGAAACTGCTCCTTGGCATGACAGCCTGGCAAGCAGAACACACCCAGCCTAGGGATGTTTTGCTGCTGCCTTATCACAGTGAAGGAAAAGTTATCAGCCAGGGCTGCTTCCTCCCCTGAAGACACAAGTAACAGTCTTTAATAAATGAGAACTGCCTGAAGTTCCAGGACAGATCTTTAAGCTCAGTGGTACTAGCACTCCCCCTGTCTGTGCAGGAGAAGTCCTGCCCACGGGGCTCCATGTAAGATCATGCACGAGCACTTCAACTTCGAGGAAACCCAGGTCCTAAATGTACAAACTCCTTATGCACCCTGCCCAAACCTGTGCACCAACCCCTGCCCCATGGGGAAGCTACAACATTCCTGCCATCCCCCCTCCTGCCACAGGCCCAGCAAGCCTCTACCTCCTGAAGCTACACTAGATGCTTCTATCTCAGGACTCCAGGCAGGTGGAAGGGCTTTGCTGGCACTGCTGGGAGCATCCATTAGGAGCCACACATCAAACACTCATCCCGGTTCTCCAGGGAGCAAACCATGGCTGCTTTATTCCTCTCCTTCTCCTCCTCTTCCTTGGAAGCCTTCTCCCGCTCCCTGAGCTTCTCCTTGTTCAGGGTGAACTGGATGGGGTTGGCAGCTGGTTTTGTCCTCAGATAGTACATGCCAGTCTTCAGACCCTGCAGAGCAGAACCACAGACTCACGGAATGGTCTGAGTTGGAAGGACCTCTAAGGCTTATCCAGTCCCACCCCTGCATGGGCAGGGACACCTCCCAGCAGCCCAGGCTGCTCCAAGCCCCATCCAACCTGCCCTTCAACACTGCCAGGGATGGGGCAGCCACAGCTTCCCTGGGCACCCTGGGCCAGGCTCTCACCCCCCTCACTCTTAAAGAATTTCTTCCTAATGTCTCACCTAAATCTCCCCTCTTCCAGTTTTAATCCATTACCCCTTGTGCTCTCACGACAAGCCCTTGTCCCAAGTCCCTCCCCAGCTTTCCTGGAGCCCCTTCAGGCACTGGAAG